GTGAGTGCATAGTTACTTTTATCTTACACATAGATATGATGTATTTTATATTATCTACGTGCTATGTGTGCATATTATCTGTATACTTGCTATCTATGCTGGATGAACGATTTTATACAAGTTTTAAATGATTTAAACTGTATATGTATTTTATAACTACGAATATGTTGGCTAAAAAATGGGTAGATGAAAAATGAGAGATGAAGGATGATATGAGTGAACATAAGCAGCTATAGACTTAGTGCCTAATAAATAACATCGGCAACTATAGACTTAGTGCCAATTTAATAAACGCCGGTAGCTATGGACTTAGTACCTATTAGATAAACACTGGTAGCTATGGATTTAGTACCCGATGAATGAACTTTAGCAACTATGGAATTAGTGCTTTACGAACACTGGTAGCTATGGATTTAGTACCCGATGAATGAACTTTAGCAGCTATGGAATTTGTGCTTTACGAACAAGCATTGACAGCTATGGACTTAGTGCCTATCATATAAACCCTGGAAGCAATGGGCTTCGAAATGAATGAATGCAGGATAAATGATTCTTAGGGTAGATCCTTAATGGTAAAGAAGATAATGGGGATGGGTAGTTGGGTTGATTGTTGATGTTTAAACATAATAATTATATTATTGTGGGTTGAAAACCCTATGTACTCACCAGGTTTCCCAACCTGACCCACTCAAGCTTATTTGTATCACAGGTGTGGATACGAAGCTACTTTACACTGAGGGATTTAAAAGAGATGTAGATCACTAGTGTAAATGAATGTAAGTTATGTTTATGCTTATGTTTCTGTATTGATGATGACATCCCAAGGTTTTAAAAGGAATAAAAATACATTTCTTTGAAAATTCTTTGATAACACATTTATCATGTTTTTCTGGGAACACATTCCGCAACATTTTTATTAAAAGAAGTACTCTGATTTTTTTTAAAGCATAAACAAAATCTGTCTTTTCTGGCCGTGAAAATGGGGATGTCACATGGATGAACTTTGGAAACTATGGATATAGTGTCTGTTGTTTAAACCCTGGCGACGATGGACTTTGTGCCTATTCCTTAGGACAATCCTTACGAATGAATGAATAAAGAGTAGTTGATTCTTAGGGTAGATCCTTAAGAAATAAAGAAGATGATGGGGATGAGTAATTAGGTTAATTGTTTGATAAAACATAATAACTTATTTATTGTGGGTTGAAAACCCTATGTACTCACCAGGTTTCCCAACCTGATCCACTCAGTTTATTTGTATCACAGGTGTCGATATAAAGCTACATTACACCAAAAGATTAAAAAGATGTAGATCATTAGTGAAAATGAAGGTAAGTTCTATTTATGCTTATGTTTTTGTATTAATGATGACATCCCAAAGTTTTAAAATAAATAAAATACATTTCTTCGGAAATGCTTTGATAAAATATTTATCACGTTTTTCCGGGAACAAATTCCGCAACACTTTTCTTTAAAAAGATACTCTAATTTGAAAATAAAATATAAACAAATCGGTCTTTTCTGGCTGTGAAAATAGGGATGTCACATTAATAATTTGGTGACAAATAATAATTTATCTTTCACGATATTATTTGCTGTTTTTTTGTTTGTTAACTCTTAACGGTGAACCTATCAAATTATATATTAGAGTATTTATGTAACGCCCTAATTCTCAAGTATTGATTTTGATACAAGATTTTCTTGATTTCAAGGTCAACTCGACGAGTTGGTTGCCCTACTCATCGAGTAGCAGCGGGTTGGTCCATGTGTTTTAGTAACCTACTCGCCGAGTCCAAGAAGGGATTCGACGAGTAGGAGTTGGCAGATGAAACCCTAAATTTCGGGGTTTTGCACCTTGTTTAAAGGATCATTGGCCTTCCCCAGCCTCCCCTATACAGCCCCTTGACACTCTAGAACCCTAATCATGTGTGTATGCTTCATTGGTGTGTTTAAGCTTGGAAGAAGGATCTTGGTGAGGAAAAACTTGAAGAAACAAGTGGATTGAAGCAAAGAACTCGTGGGTATCAAGATCTACTTTAGTTGGCATCTTTTGGGAGGTATTAAGTTGTTATCTTAAACTCATTTCATTCTAGATCTCTTTTGGGTGGATTTTAGGGCTTTTCTAGCATAATAAGAAGCCATTCTTGGGTATAAGCTAAGATCTAAAGTTGTAACTTCATGTCTGGACTCTCCTTGGTCTCTAAGTCCATGAATTTTTAAGTTTTGGCAAGCATGAACCTTCCCTCAAGTGTGAGACTTCTTTACAAGCTTAGTTTTGTCATTTTAAGACCTTGGAGCTTTGTATGCACGTAAAGTTTGCAACTCTATGTGATAAACATGCCTTGGAAAGCTGGATCTACAATTTGGAGCCTTAACATGGCTTAAAAAGCCTCTGTATGGATGAAGGACTGAAGGAACTCGGCGAGTCCGATGAATATTGTTTTGGGCTCGGCAAGTCAGATGAGTGACTCGGCTAGTTGGCGAGTTATGCAAGGAACTGGGCGAGTAGCTAAGGGTACTCAACGAGTTGAGGTCAACATAGACTGTTGACCTTGACCGATGACTTTGATTGTAACCAAGGGTTGACCAGTGGACTTTTGGGGACATTGTTGGGAAATTGGAAATTTACAAGTATGGTTCTATGGTGAATATAGGTGGTAAAGTTATCCTCACTATACTAAGGGGTCTAAGACACAAAGGTCGACTCATTGGATATGATTTCCTAGCAGTTGGTAGTATGTTGAGTATGAGTTAGTGTTGCATGTTAGTTGCTATGCCAGTTAGGTAGATCTGTAGGACTACCTATAGTATCATGTGATTATCTGTATGCGCATTAGTTGTATTGTATGTCGACATATTATGCGGGATGGGTTAAGGTGATACTGCTCCATGTTGTAACCAATAAACCCGGGAGCATTCCAGATACAATTTGAGGGAGACTCATACTGTAGGCTCAGTGGAAATCCAGATGTGAGTTGTGGGCCTGGAAGGCAATCCAGACTCACACTGTGGGCTCAGGGGGTAATCCAATCTGTAAAGTTGTGGACCCAATATATGCTGTTATTTGTATATGTATTATGTGTAGTGTATCGGTATTTTAGGGGAACTCACTAAGCTATCGGGCTTACAGTTTCAATTTATTGGTTCAAGTACATCAGGGGATCGTGGCAAGGCGAATGCATGATCGTACAGCTCCTCATGTTTTGTTTATGTTTCTGAGAAAAACTCTGATATAGACTATTTTGAAAACAAATCTGTAATAACTGTTGGTTTTAAATGTTTTGAATAGTTTTAAATTGGCTTGAAATTTTTGGGTGTTACAATTTAACATACCATCAACACCTTCGAGAAAAATAAAGTATAATTGTTTAACCAAAGTGTTATTTCATTATATTTTTATTTATATGATAATAATAAAATATCAGTGAGATAACATTGCAGACTAATTGTTAGGAACAGAAACCCTAATCGCTAATTTCAAAAAGGACTTGCAGTGCAAGCCTACAGTACAGATGTAGTAATGGTTGTCGACATTGTTTATAGTAAATCTAGCGGGGCTGGTGGTTTGGATTGAGATTAGATTTTGAGTGTCGCAGTTGTCGTATGCCTCCTTCGTTACTTCTGCAACATTATGAAATCCATTGGCAAAATTAAAGATGAGAGTATCATCAATTATGAAGGTATCGTTTAGAGACCACATAGCGTAGAAATCGGCATCTTGTGGCACTGCCCAGCCGAAGGAATCGCCGACTACATGCTCAGTTGCCACCGAGTGATTAAACTCCATAGATGCAACTACCATGGCTATAATCAGAAACAAACTTGGCTTTAGGTTTGCCATTCTTGATTAAGTAAATATGTGTTCTTATTCCTTTGATGGGTCTCCCGAGTAAAGCTTTTCGTCTTATGCTAGGAGAGAATAAGTTTTAGGTGTATTTATAGGAAAGTTGGAGCTGTAAATGTTTATTGAAGAAGTTAATGTTAATTAATTTTAAGTATTCACATAGTTACATTTGTAGATATTTATTGTGGCATTAACTGTTATTAACTCCAAGTATTTGTACGTGATTTAGACATGAATAATAAATATTTTTATTTTGGTATACATTACATGTGTAAGGATGGAATACTTATATTTAGACAATTACTAAATTATTAAATAAAGGTTGTCTTATTATGAAATGATATTTCTGTAAAAAAATGTTGTAAATTGTAAAATATAAATTCACTTATTTTGACAAAATCGATTTTGTGAAATATCATTGTCTTTATAAAATAAAATTACCTTGTGATTAGTCTCCACCACTTTCTTACGGCTCAATTAGAAGAAATAAAAATAATCTTTCAATTGAACTGAAAAATATCTTACAGCTTAATTAGAAGAAATAACAGTAATCTTTTAATTGAACTGAAAAATATCAGACATTAGACAATTATGTCCATTAAACGTTTCATTTAATTTAACGATGCAAATAATTCCCATTATCACCCATACCCACATTTTTACTAAATATCATAAAATATAACCATTTACCATTTTAACTCCTTAAAATCCATGCCGGACTAGCCCACTTGATATAGATTTTTTTGTGTATTAGATTAAAGATCCCAAGCGCTATATCGGACATTGACGATTTTTACATATAACTTGCGAAACATATTAAAATTTATGGTCAAGAGACAACTGTTTAAAGCCTATGGTCATTATGTTGGAAAGCGTGAGTTCGAACTCTACTAGTCTCTTTCATTTTTTTTAAACTTTCAAACATGCTAGTGAACTCAGTTTTACTTGCAGATAGATGTGGTTAATGTGTAAAGTCTTTATGTTGAAGATAGTAAGTTAAAACTCAATGGCCCGTTTTAACTTTGAACCAAGCAAAAACAATTCTATGCAAAACATGACTTCAATTACCTTACGCTTTAACCAACTGTGCTAACATACATCTTCAAAATAAAATCTCATAATCACAAAGTTTAATATAGTTTCCATGTTATAGGTGTCTGTATCCATGAGATCATTTTGTTATATTTTCTAAAAAGGGTTTCAAAACAATCATCATTCTAAATACTTTCCCATACATTTTGACTTTAGAAGTCCAAACACAATAACAAATGAAAGCTAGTGCGAATAATAAGTTTGGTTTGAAGTAAAATAAGAGAAAGTTAATAAAATGGTTAAAGAGTGATCCCCCACAATGGCCAACATAGGCAAAATATAAGAAAGATTCAACTTCAAATTAACCAACAAACTAAACCATAACCATAACCATACATCATAATACCATGTGAAAACTACCATCACTTTCATTCCCACTTATTTTCTTGCCTCCGCCTTCTTTTGGTCTTTGGCTGAAAACACAACACAACATTTATATATATATATATATATATATATATATATATATATATATATAAAATAAAAAAAAAATAATAAAATACCTTTTATTCATTTTCATAAGAATAAAATGTAAAAAGATTACCTGCTTTCTCTTCTTCTCGTTTCTTAGCAGCTTCTGCCCTCTGTTGTCTGATTAGAGCCAACCGCTCTGCAAATACATTAATTAGACTAAGACTAAGAATGATGTGAATGGACATAAATGCCCTCATCCCAATAAACTATTGATATGAGGAAGAATGCTTATTACCTAGATCCTTCTTTGCTTGATCTGTTTTCCCCTGTTCTTGCAGCTTCATATACCTTTCATGAGCCCTCTGTTTTTCAATCTCTTCTCTGTAAATAAACATGATAACTCAACTCATATGGGGGTGTTTCGGTCTTTTAAAATATGGAACAAAATAATAATCAGAAGAGGAAAAGAATTTACAAACCTTTCACGTCTTGAAAGTTCACTAGTTTTATCCAGCTGAAAAGCAAGACAATCAGCAGAATTGATCAAAATAATTGCAAAAATAAAACTTTATGTGTTAATGTGTGCTTACATCAGCATCTCTTGCTTTCAAGGTCTTGGGCCTAGCCATATTTGGGTTCTCAATGTCGATAACACCTTGGGTCCCTTTCTTCTTCTATAATTTATAATAGAATAAGCAAACACAGAATTTATAATCTATAATTAAATACAAAAAGATTATATTTGTAAAGAAAAAAGTGTAAAAGTTTACTGACTTCAGATTCTTCCTCAGATGACTCTTCAGATTCTTCATCAGATCTTTCCTCTTCAACTTCAGCTTCTTCCTGATAAATCAAGCATTAGTCAACAACTATAAATAGATCTTTTAATTTAATTTTTTCAAACCTTGATCCTATATCAACAGAAATAATCAAATACTTCATTCGTTCTTTTACAGATTAATCTGAAGAAGCATAAAACAAGACTCCATAGCCACTGAATGAACAATAAGAATCATATAGAATGATACCTTTCAAAGCTTATTTTATTTGTAACCAAAAAATCAAGTCTTCTGAATACAAGGAGATACAAGAACATTAGAATAACAAAAACTTATTTGGAGTTGGTTTTTTTATCTTAGAAAGGGAAGAACCCATGATGATGCTGTTCCAGATTTTAATTTATGTAATCTGTGAAGACATGTTCATTTTGGACATCAAGAATTCAACCTATTTCTTTTTTATTTTTTTGAATATTAAAACTACCTTTTTAAATGTACGAGGTCGAGATGAAGTGCCAGCAACTGCAATCATTAACAAAAGAAATCATATTAGTTAACATGTCACACGAATAAACATCAATTTCACCTAATACTCAATATTTTACCAATTGTCTTTACATTATTTGTACTACTTATCTGGACATTCTTGCTTGCTTAACTATGTGTGTAACTCTGTATGTATTCTATGTATGCAAAAAAAACGTTACATAAATTGTTTCTATGTTTTACAAATGATTATGGCATCCCAATAACCTAAATCCAAGTACCATGCACCAAAAACCTTGTTGCCCTGTTAGAAAATTAGTCCTTTCAGATCACTACAAAACCCCTTTGGAACCATTAAAACCTAATCAACAAGAACAAAACCTAATCATCTACATAGAACCAAGAACAAAACCCCTTTTGGAAACATTAAAACCTAATCAAGAAACAAAAGTCCGGTTATCCTTTTCGAAATGAATTCATTCGCCTATTTCAACAATTAATAGATTTAACAGAAACCCAAATCAAATCGAAGGTCTATAGATGATAGAAACCAAGCACCGAAACCGAACGAATATCTTAAATCGGACTACTACGGATCGATTCCGCATAAGAAAGTTGCATATAGAAATCGAATAACACAAAACTAAATTAATGAAAAGAAAAGGAGAGTATGAGTATAAAACATACGCATCTCTTCGGGAGTAGAGAACTGGCGACGTCCAGTAGGCTTGCCCTTAAACTTCCCTCTCCCCATACTTGATTAGGCTAACAGTAGTCGATCAGAATTGGAGAAAGAAAGAAGAAAAAGAAGCAAGAGTTTTGTATTAATTTGAAAATGGTCGCTCCACACCTCTTTAATCGGTGGGTATTTGGGATAAATTTTCCCCTGTATTGGAGAATGGAGAATAAAGAAGCGAAAGAAACCCTAGTCGCAGTTGGGCTTGTTTGTGCCTTGTGGACACAGAATCTATCAAGCCATCAAGGGGTGGTGTACGTGGAAAGGTTGACCGCCGTAGATTTTTCGCAAATTGAAACTGAGTATCTGATTCTATTTTTCATTTTCTCTCTCTTTTTTTTTTTTTTTTTTTTAATTGAAATTTTGAAAGAAATGTTTTCATTAGTTTTGGGCATCCTACTTTTCTACTTTTATAAAAACAAAAATTATACTAAAAACTCACTTTGATTTATTTATTATTAACATTATGTTTTTATTCTTTTTTCTATTATAACATTATACAATAAAAAATATTCTTATTATATTAATAGTTTCATTTAAAGACAGATTAGTCTATACATTTTCCAATATATATATCGTTTTAATATGAAATTAAATGAACATGCTAATTTAGTAATTTGCTAGATTTTCAAATTACACTATCCTAAATAAAAAATTAAAAACAGAATATTGTGACACGAAGAAATAAAGATAAATAAATAAAATATACATTTGTCATTTATTGTATTTAACCATTTACGTAATCAAATCTTCAGAATAATCTGTGAAAAGATTGTGGCGTGATTGGTAGTGGTATAAAATGGTAAAGCAAAATGAATATTTCAAAGAACGATTGATCATACAGACGTTAAAGATAATATTCATGGTCCCCTTTTTCTTCTTATACATTTCTAAATTTGTTGTGTTTGGAGATTTTATTACCTTCAATGGATTCTAATTTCCCAAAACAAAAATATTATGTATATTTGTTGTGTATCAATCATACTCTCCATTCTTTATATTCCACTATGTGCACATCATATTCATATAAAGGTTGATACCATCATATACCAATATAATATTTGACTGTCCATGCTTAAATTGTCCTTTAACAACATAAAAAAAAAAAATTGTAAATCAAAACTAAAATTATTAATTCCATGTCATCGTCCATTATTAATAAGATAAAAAAAAACACGATTTTGGTTCAATCTTTCTTTATAATATGCATCTAATTTTATGAATTAAATCAAAGAACAAGACAACCATTTATTCATAGTTTTATTACATTTATTGATTGATCCAATTAGCTCAATATCTATACTTACTAACTTTAACTTTTCCTAACAAAAAATTTAAATCTCCACATTAACCGGTCTAACCAATACAAAATGCGACCCACTAATTTCTGACATCACCAACTCTAACAAAACCACCTCCTTCGGCTGTTTGATTTTCAATGAAGGCTCAAAGAAACCTGCTCCAATAATTAATGATAAAAAAAAAATGTTTAATGATAAAAAAAAAAAATGTTTAAAGACTTGTAATTAATTATCTTACCTGGTGAGAGTTTTCTCCCTCCATATAACTCTTGTGTCAAAGGATTTGATGCCCAATTATTAACAGCAAGAAGGCTCGTGGGTTGGAATCCTACTATTTTCCCTTCTGATGATATCACAATCTGAAATTTGAGCTCATGTCAACATCTATTTTTTGGGTGGAATGGAATGAGTTATTCCATTCCTTCCCTGATTCCATCATTACCAAAGACTGGCTATTATAGTTTTTATTGGGTTAAAAGATAAGAAAGAAAACCTGATAACTTGCGACTTTATGTCCAGATGCTAATAACAAATCATGGTCAGTTTTATCAGTTGGAGTGAGAGTGGATGATGCTGACGTGGCATTATTGTTGTCAACTTGAATCAATCTTGTTAGGTAATCAGGGAGTTGACCTGTTGATACACCACCACCACTTTCTTTTCTTATCTCTCCACTCCACCCATAAACCGCTTCAACTTTCTTCAAAATTGAAATACAAACCTCTTCCAACTATCAACACAAATGACAAAAACACCCATTGAAATAATAAGACACAAGTGAGGAGGAATTGGAAAGCATCATATGAAAATATATAACTACATACTATAGTAGGATCCATGGACCAAAGACGGATTGAATCAGTATGTGATGATTGGGGCTGTTGATTTCCTCTGAAACGGTTTTGCCCGTTTTGAAAACGGGGCAAAAAGATCCGACCCATTACAGTAATTGCAACAATTAAGCATCCACTTATGATGAAAGTAGATACCATTTTCACAAAAGAGTTACCTTTCTGCAACAACAATATCAATATCATAACCTTGTTAAAAGATCACATGTAAATTAAGTGTAGATTAGAAAATACCTTCATGTGCATGTTAGTAGTCATGGAAGCTGCATTGTATGGCAGTTTTTTATCAGGGAGTGTGAATAAATCCTCATAATACATATCCAAGATGTTAGCCAAACATACCTGAAAATAAAACTAAGTTATATCTTTGCATTTATCCCAAAATAAATATACACAAAATAAAGGAAGAACTAGAATACCATTTGGGAGTGGGTAAGAAGGACTTCCCACCTATTTTTAGCAGATTCTTTCCATCCTTCAAACTTCAAATTTTGTAATTTGTCACTTTTGATTTGCAATCTGTAAGCAGGAATATATTCACTTACCCATGAACTAAATTCATGTCCACCAATTTTTTCTAATTTAGAAAACACAGACCATGGCCACCAATTATACTTCAATGCTGTTTCTTTAGGTTTATAACTTTCCTTCATTGAATTAAACTTTTCAAGCAGAGTTTTAGCACTTTCAACCACTTCATCCTCGTGTACTTTGTATAAGATGACAGAAGAATCTTGTGAAAAGATTTGTTCGTGTTTATGAAATAGATGGAATATGTTAAATGATGATTTGCCTAATGAGTTATCAAGAAAATCCCTTTTGATGCTTTCAAGGGCAGAAACGGAAATCACTTCTGCAAGCTTGGATATGGCTTGTACATCTGAGGAACCCAAGGTGAAGGAAGCAGGGACCTGTGGATGGGAAAGGACTGTTATACCCTTCTGTATAGATACCTGTTTGGATTAAGAGTAAGAGAAAAGAGAAGGGTGTTTAAACTTTAACCTCTCTTGGGTTTGCAAGATCTTTCATATTTCTTGTTGTTCCTGGTGTAAACAAGACAAGTTCAAAACTCCAAAGTTGTCTCAAAGTCACTTGTCTGAATGTCATTGCTAGTATATTTGTAGATGTAGTGCTTGAAAGCATGTCTTCAGTTAGATAACCTCTAAGACTTTTAGCTCTCTCTTTCACTTTTCTAGATGGCAAAAACTGTCAAGAGGAAAGATCACAATTCACAGTAGAAACAGTTTCTTTTTGTTACTAACACCATTCCATTATCAGTATATACCATAAATTTTATTATTAATAGTTGAACACTAAAAATGGCTTAGGGAGGGTAACTATTAACTAACCAGTCTGGTGGAGATGGTGCTGTGTTCGTCGGATTGGCCTGGGAACACCGTCTCCGCCACCATGACATCCAAGCCATGATCAATGTGTTCGTCTGCAGCCTCACCACCGTCGGCGGCCGCTGCTGTTAGGGCCTGTTCCAAGTCAACATCACCAACAACAGCCAGCCGACCCAAGTCATTCTCATAGGTTCTCACACATGGCATAGACTTCACATCTTCTCCGTCCAGAATATCAAGAATGTATTGCTGGGTTTCCGGCAGCGGAGGCCGCGACGGTGTGGGGGCAGAGCGAGCTCGTACAGTGAGGGAAATTCGAGAAGGTTTTAGGCGAATTATGGGTCGAAAGACGAAGCTTTTGGCTGTAAGAGTAGTGAATTTTGAAGGGAAAACCTGAAGTCGGACAGGAAGCGGATGAATAAAGGAAGCCATTGATGCGATTGTGAAGCTGTGCGAAGAATGTTTGGCTCATTTTAGAACCATAACTGCGCACGTTAGCAAGGGTTTTGGGAAAACCTTGCGATGGCAAGTTTTAACTAGTAGTACACTGTAGATCCAGGATATTTGGGTACTTGACAGAAGACAACTACTAATTTAAAGAATTGTCATAACCAATCCCTATTATTTTTGTTTATGTGACAATAAGGTGAAGAGGTTAACCGAGGCGTCTAGTAGTACACTGTAGATCCAGGATATTTTGGTAGCTTTTAAAAAACTGAGGGAAAAAAATTGTGATGGAAGTATAGAAACTTTTAGCTTTTATTTCAAATTAAAAAAACTCATGAACTTATTCAAGTAGTTTTTTTTAGAGTTTTTATCTTTTGATTTTTATTTAATTTTACACCTTTAAGAGCTAAAAACTAATTTTGTTGAACTTTCCTTCACAATTAAAAGCTACAAAAACTCATGATTATAACAACTGATTCAAGTACTTTTTTAGAGTTTTTATGTTTTGATTTTTATCTAATTTTACACATTTAAGAGCTACAAACTAGTTTTGTTGAACTTTCCTTCACAATTAAAAGCTACAACTTTTAGTTTTCAACTACCAACCACTAATTAATGGCTAGTTTTGTCAAACGTGTCAAACGTATAGAATAACAACAATATACATTTTACATTCATAGTGTGTCATGTACACCCGAATGTGTCCATCCTCACATAATATGCATGCAGTTGTACACATACAAATATACATCAACTTCGCATTTGAATTTGAATTATTAGGTATTTTAGGTTATTGTTATAAGTTAGAACCTTCATATTTGTAATATTACATGTGATATAAAAAAAAATTGAAATCACATATATTGATAATAAAATTACATGTGTTTTGTAAAAATACAAGTGGTTTGGGGTCAGGTGAATGAGATCATGTATGGAATCAAGAAATAAGGTGGAAATAACCCTAATGGCATAATCATCTAAAACCAATAAAAAATTAAAAGTTCTTATACTTAGTATCATAACAACTTACCGTCCACAATCCATCCCAAAAGTTATAGGTTCGGGTCATTTTGTCATCCCTAAATATTATTGATTAGTATAATATGAAATTTGAATGATATTGTCATAGTTGGTTCTTCTAGCTAAGCAATTGATCATTTAAGTCATGCCTTATCTGAATCTTTTCCCATCAAGGATCATGGGCGACTACATTACTTCTTAGGGATTAAAGTACTTCACCGTTATGGGGGATTACCTTGTTACAACACAAGTATGTGTTTGATCTACTTCGTCGTGCTATCATGATGAATTGTAAAAGTGTTTCAACCCTAATGTCTGTAATGGATAAGTTTGCACTCGACTATGGAACAACACTAAATGACAAAGATATATTCAAATATAAAGCATGGTGGGAGGTCTACAATACCTCACTTTGACAAGATCGGATATTTCTTTTGAAGTTAACAAAGTTTGTCAATATTTGTCAAGACCCACTAATGTGTATATGGAGGTTCTGAAGTGAATCTTAAGGTATACAAAGGGTACAACAACTACATGGTTTCGTATACGAAAATCAAATTCTACATTGTTGCATGTGTTTACAGATGCAAATCGGACAGGTTGCTTAGACTATCGAAGGTCTAGCAGAGGTTTTGCAGTTTTCTTAGATCCACACTTTGATTTCATGAAGTTCATGAAAGCAACCTACAATATCTCGTTTCTAGTATGGGAGCTAAATACAAGGCCTTGGCTAATGGTATAGCAAAGGCAACATAGATACAATCTTTACTTAAGTAACTGAGAATTCATCAAACACGATCACCTGTTTTGTGGTGTGATAATTTGGAAGCTATATATTTAACAACAAATCAGGTCTTTCATGCACAAACAAAACATATAGTAGTTGATTTCCATTTTTTTAGAGAAAAGATGGCAATGAGAGCTCTTGATGTTCGATTCATTTCTTCAAATGACCAGGTTGCTAATGGATTTACAAAGCCAACTACTCGTAATATGTTAGATCATCTAAGATGTAATATGAACTTTGTCATGGTTAAAATTAAGGGGGAATGAAAAGATAAATTATAAGACTAGAGTTAAGTTTTAAAATATAACTTTTTGTATAAATAAGATCCTAGCTTTAAGGATTTATAGTTAGGTTTATCTTGTATTCATAATTCTATATATATCAGACGAATCCCAAAGGTATATTCACGACAATACATCTTCTTGACTGGGCACATAACCTACTTTCCCGACAGTTTAAATTGAGTAATAATATTGAGACAAATGAGAGACCATTTGAGAAATGCAATTTACCTTAAGCTAAAAACCAAAGTTTTAAATACAAGTCTTTTGTGCAATGATGCACATGCAAAATAAGTTAATACAAATTTGGTATAGTGACGATCAAACGGTAAAAAAAAAAAAAAAAAAAAAAAAAAAAAAAAAAAAAACATTGGTTAGTAAAAAATCACGCTTGGTAATGCATAATTCAATTCACAGTTTTAGTTGAGATTTTTTGTCCCCAATATATTGAAATACTTTTTGTCATTGGTTTAAAAGAAATAAAAAAACACAAGATGTATAGAAGCATTACATCAACAAATTATGTTACATTTCATTATATACCTCATATCAAAAAGGGTGAAGACATCTTGAGCTCCCTCACTAAATGACCTTAATAGCTAAAGGTATATGTAAATTATAATTAGAGTCGGTTCTGATGATGTAATATCTTCAAATGCCCGTGACGAGTTAAAGAAAAATGGTATTTATCACTATTATAAATTTTTTATTTTTAAATAAATGTATATATAATATATAATAAAAAAATTAGATCATATGCAGTTCACTTTGCCCCTTACCCCCTCTCTCCCTCCCTCCCTCAATGCCCCCATGATCATAATGTATCTAGAGCAAAGAAGATGATGCTTAAGTTTGAATTAGAGATCTCTTTTCGTGGACTCTCATCATTAAGACGAGCAAACACGAACTTAATATCATTAAGGATAACTAGTTGCTCTTGTGTAAACTATGTATATATCAATAAATTTCAAGCCTACTTACATTGGGATTTAATTAATGGGCCTCATTTCAGATGAATCAGATTAACTTTAAGAGAATGATTTAGAAGTTAATGCAAAATGAAACTTTGGATTTAGAATAAACATTTACAAGAAAAAAAAATGATGTTGGATTTTTCAAATGCACACGCCTTCCATTTGGGTTACCTTTGAGAGAGGGGAAGGCCAAGTAGTTAAAATCACTAACATCAAAGAAAGATAAAGTTACTACCAATTGATGTAAAATTATAAGCTGAGGGACTGTAAATGGATGTTTATAAATAGCACATGGACCACTTAAGTAATTTAGAAATCATAAACGCTAACCGATATCATCGTATATTTCCATCCAATTTCTCCGATATCATCATTCGCGTTTTAGGGCAAAATTTTTCTTCCCTCGACACGAGTTGATTCCTCAGGTGCTAATTTCGTTCGATTTTTCTTCATTAGTTTGATTGTTCAAAGCAATTTGTGGTTAATTCATCGTTCTGATCATTGTTATTGCTGATATTTCCCCAGATTGTACGTTAGATTGGTGTTCTTGATCCCTCACGGTAAGCTTGATTTTTCAAAAGTAGTTTTCTTGTGTTCTACGAATCTTGTTATTCGATTGTTAAAAGATCGCTAAGTTTTTATACGATTCTTTCATAAATCCACTGAGACAATTTCTTGTGACTATCAAAACTTATCGTGTTGAATTTTTAAAAGTCCGAACTGCATCATACATAAGGGGGTTTTTCATATTCATGTGGACACTGGTCTTATATTTTAACAGTTGAAGATCAAACTTGCTCTAACTTCATTATTCATCATATAGCTGGCTGCTTTTTAGTGTTGCGATTCTTGTTTGGTGATTATAATTCTGCTTTCAGGGAAGCTACTTGCACCATGGGGAAGAGGAAGTCAAGAGCAAAGCCTGCTCCTAGGAAGCGAATGGACAAACTGGACACCGTTTTTAGCTGCCCTTTCTGCAACCATGGCACCAGTGTTGAATGTCGCATGTATGTATTTGCTCCACCAATTCTATCTTCTGCTACAATATAATCTTTCCAGATTTTTACATCCCATGTGTTCCATTGAAATGAACTCATATTTTATTTGGTTGTTTGATAACTGATGTCAGTGATATGAAGAACTTGATTGGTGAGGCATCTTGCAGGATTTGCCAGGAAAACTTCAGCACTACTGTCACAGGTAGGGTTAAATGCAAGAAATAACATCTTACTTTCACTTTTCAACAATCATATTTATAAATTGGTAAATTTTTTCAAAGTAGAATGTCATAGTAAGAAAAAACTGAAAGAAATGAAAGTAAGATGCAATAATGGTTTCCCTTTTATTTTATTGTCATGCAGCTTTGACAGAGCCAATAGACATATATAGCGAGTGGATTGATGAATGTGAACGTGTTAACACTGTTGATGAAGATGGGGTCCCTGTTGAAGATGATGAAGCTTAGAAAATGGTTGGAGAAATCTGGTTTCGTTTAGGTTTATGTATGATGTATGGTTTGGTATTTTCTGAATTTGAGACCTAATTAGTAATTACTGGATGTAAGGTGAACGTAGATTGGGAACATGTTAATGAGGCCTAATCTTATAAATATATATATGCAAAATAAACAACTGTGTAAATACTCAGTATGCTTTAGAGTATTGTCATTAATCTGAGTTTAAGACCATCTTAATCACTGCAGAGAACCAACATCTTTTCAAAAGTGGTTCCCTTTAATCACTTCAAGTCGTTGATAATATCAACCAATTTTGAAAAAACAATAAATTATTTTTAATTCCAAAATAAACTACATTGCAAAAATCCCAACTTGTTTCTTCTTTGTTCACAAATCAATAATAAAATGGAACTCATCGTAAAGATGATCCCTCTAAACTAGATTAATACATAATAGGTAAAAGTTAAACACAACTAATTCATTTCGCTCAAGACACATCAAAGTAGTAGATTAGGCTATAAAGGTTTAATAATTAACACCTTTAAAAACATTAAAATGATAACAATCAAATATTCAAAATTACACTAAACCATATATCATCCCTAATTAAGATAAATACTAACCAAATTTAATAAACCCTTAAACGAATTTCTGCATCACTTAACCAGTCATTGAAGTCACCAGCGTAAGTGCTTCCCATGAATTCGAAAATCTTAACCTTCAAATCAATACTCCTCCATTGTTGACGTTCAATCTTTAGATCACATGGATAATGTAGATCGACTCTCTCATTCATGACATTACGTCCACCACCTCTTCAATTGCATGTACCATGATATCTTCTACGATTAGCAGCTTAGGAGAAATCTAGTCAGCCTGGTTTTTATCCGTTCATTATATATATGTTTGCTTTGATACCAAATGATGCCTAGATGATCTTGATTGAATGATTAAATGAACATAAAGAACAAAAACGTAATTCGATTGTGGAAACTTTGATAACAAACTTCAATCCCCACGTAGAAATTAGAAAACAAAAATATCTATAGGAGAAGAAGATAAAACTTTTTACATATCCTTGGAATTTAAAATTTATTAGAATAATATTTCGAGTCAATCAAAAAAAGAAAGAAGGTACACAAAGTAAAATCCTCATACATGGTGTGGGGGGTATATATAGAATTAGCTTTGTGTAAATCAAACAAAATTTATAGAAGATCATAAAAACAGAAAAACACTTATTAAGTCCCTAAAATATCTCGGATTACTGAAAAACACCTTACATGACACATTCAGGTTTGATATTCGGCCCATATAGCGACCGAATTCAGTCCAATTCCAAAATTATAAAATTATTTCAACATATTTGGCAATGATGTCATCAACCAATCATCAAGACGTGTACCCAGCATCAATGAATGAGTATTCCTATTGTGTATCAAGAAAAACCTACATGCTCATCTTAGGCTTCATTATAACTTCACTCTTACATGTCTCACAAGCCTAGAAAAGCCTACATGTTCACGTCTGACAAGCCTCTTAGGTTTAGTGTGTTGATGTTTGAAACCCATTGAATACATAGAACACCCATCAAAAATCTTATACGTTTTTAGTCCTCTTTTTCACCCTTTGTTAGTCTTTCGACCATAACTCAGCTCACCATAGCTCCTAATATGCTGGTTCAAGTTACCATGGAAAGAGTTACCTAAAAGTTTTAGGTTTTATGTTTTCCTATATATGATTTTAGTTCCCATATTTTCACTTTGGCCCTCCTACTACTCTATTGGTCCATAACGATCCATGTAGGAAACTTTCTCACATTACAAGTCCAACAACACTTAAAACAGCAATGAAGTTTCAAAAGCAATATTTCACTTATAAGTTGAAAAAAAAATCTACCAGAAAAACAGCAATTCATATATACCAACTGACCACAAGTTACAGATATCTGCTAACTTTTCAGCACCAAGATAGTGCTCTCTAGTCGATTAGCATCAAAATCTTCACAATTCACATATATATATATTTTAATGTCATTTATCATCATAATACCAAAACCTGGTCCAAGTAAAACAAAAGTAAGCAGCAGCCATCTTCTGTTTTTTATATACCATCTCCCCCAACAGTTAGAATAGTGCTCCCCCATAAAAATCAAGCACATTTCACAATCCACTAATCTTTGACTTTGACCTTATACCATTAAACAGAAAACACCACTTTGACCAAAATTTATGTTAAGTAGTACCCACCAACATCATCAACAAGATAGTTAAATGGCGCACCATCATCACTTGCCACCATTGGATACACAGTTGCACCTCCATTCTTGTCTTTCAAATTCCCCTTTCCCCTTCCTTTAACAGACCTTTTATTATTATTATTATTATAACTATTATCCAATGGAAACTCAGCAGTAAGTCTTCCCATTTGCTTTTGAAGATCAGCAAGTGAATCGTTTGCAATCTTTCCCTTTGGACTTTTCTTCCCATCAACAAGCTTCAATTCCAATCTATACAAAGCACACACATCACATTTGCTGATTTCATACTCGTATAAATGCCATTCAAGAAACTTCATGGGCTGTGGGTCCATGTAATATGACCTTTTTAGCCATCCAGATTCATTAATCACTTGTTTTCTTGATTCATGCCAACCACGCCCGTTGTAATCAGGGAGTGATCTTTGTTTTCTGTTTCCACTCTCAAACGCCCTTCTTGGCTTATCAAAGAACAGCCACTCCCGTATTGTTTCCCCCTCAAAAACCGAAAGATCAAACAGCTCTGCAAAGAAAAATGTTTACATTACTCGTTGGATGGAATGGAATCACAATGAAAAAGGAATGGAATCACAAAAGAATGGAATGGAAAGAGGAAAACTAACCAGGGGCATTCCATGGAGATTTTGCAGTGGCAGCTCCTTCACATTCAGGAACTCCAACATCTTTCCCTTGTGTTTTTGCACTAAGGGCAGCAAAAAGTAACGTGTCTTTCAACTCAATGCCTTTAGGGCGTATGACAGGTGTCATCCCAAATCGGCCTTCATTTTGAGCAATTGCAGCATGCAAGCTGCTGCAATAGTCAAGAAACCAACCTTGAACAGGCCTATCAGAACACCAGCCTTGTGCAGGTCTTGGACAATCCCAAAGGGCACATTTTGGTCCCAAGAAAGCAGAAGGGGGAGGGGATAAAGTGGGAAGAAAGGTGGTGATTTGAGGTGATGATGTGTCTTCTCCCCTTGTGCATAGTCCCATGCCATCAATTCCAGTAAAGAAGTTTTGTTCAAAATCATGGGGTAAATCAAATGAAAAGTAATCCAATTGATTGGTGATATCTGTATTGTTAACACCTGAAGGAGAACCTTTGCATTGATCAAGTAACTGGAAGCTTTGTTGTTGAGTTGTGTGATTAACAGTAAAACCCTGCAACCCATTATCTGGATCAGGTTTTGGGGCAGCTAACCCACTGGTTGCATCATCTTCTTCATCACATAGCTGTAAAAGTCTGCTTATGTCAGGGGAGTAGGGTCCTACACTCGCACCCTGTTTCAAAATCCAAAAGAAAATTACTACCTTCTTACCATGGATTCTTTGAAGAACATGATGTGTGTTTTAACTTTTGAACAACAATATGACAAACCTGTTGTAAAGAAGAAGCAGGGGAAGGCTCGTTGAGTTCATTCTTCCATTCTTTGAGCATCTGATTAACTTGTTCTTCGAGAACAGCAACATCAATGCTTCGGCTCTCCTTCCTTGCCGACTGCAGATCTGTAAACATTCCATGGAGGTCCTCCACGCGGTTCTTAGCTCTGTCTTTGAATATCTGGTGAGACCCGGACTTGCTTTTCGTACCTTTCCCCATTCGAAAACAATACAGTATGACCTAATCCTTCGCTCTTCTTGATAAATCGCCTGTCATATATCAACAACACCAAATGGTTTCAGTTTTATAAGATGAAAATATCGCGCAGATTATAATCGCTCCGAACACGGCACCCTAATCGTAAACCCTAACGAAGCATAAGACGAAACAATACAGGACCTTTAAATCACAATCCAAGACTAAATCAAAACACGACTACACAACCAAACAAACAAGAACCGTGGATAGATACGAGATAACTCTTTCTGACATAATACCTCGAAAACTATTAAGAAATGAATCTTATAAACACATGATTACAGGAAAAAAGAAGGTGGATTTCAAGAAATTGATCAAAAGGGCTTACCTTTTTGATACCTAAAACGAGCGAGAGAGCAGAGAGTTGAGCAAAATTGAGGGGAGATTCAGATTTTGCCACAATTTTGGTGTTGTACTTCTCTCTGAAATTGGGGCACCGAAATCTGGTTGTTCTAGATTTGCGTTAACCTCCAAAGAGGCAAAAAAGTGCGTACCACAGCCATACCTACGCGGCAAAAGTTATTAGGAAAAATTCTCCCAATCCCAATCTCAATCCCATAAAACAACCAAATACTTTTACTTATAAATATAGGGATATTATGTAAAGTCTTTATATATATAACTAAATCGCATTTGATAGATATTTGAACATTAAATTCTTTTGGAAAGAGATTAAACGAAATAAATTGATATTATTAGATTATCTTCGGCTCTCCAAAAAGAGAGTTTGTATAGACAATGACATGTCACATTTGTCTTAAGGTTACCGTGTAGAAGATTAATTGTAAAACACTAACGGTTATCAGTTATCATATAGAAGATAAATTGTAAAACATCAACCAACAATAAAATGTGATCCCATTTGATGATGAAAAAAAATCCATGTTGTTTAAAATTGTGTGGTAAGCATTCACATGACATTTCAAAACATGTATTTTGAATTAAAAAACATAAATACATTTCTTAATGCATTCAACTTTTTGTATCACACACATCAAAGCATAGAGAATTACATGTCTTAAGATATAATTTGTAACTGAAGAGACATAATGATAATTATAAACTTTAATGTTTACTAAAGGAAGATAGTACCAATCAATAAAAGACTTGGTGAGTAGTTTATTGCATGCATTTTTAACAACAAATAATCAATGTACATGTTGTAAACATGTTATTAGGAGACACAATTGTGTCTTTTATGATTTGAGTGATTATTACTAAAATTTTATGCTATATTCATTTATATTCATATTTAAAAAATGATAAATATATCAACAATCATTTGTTTAAACTTGTGTAACAAAAAAACATTTAATCATAAATACATATATTGTAAGTTGTAACACAAGATCTTTCTTTTACCAACAAATTTATACATACACTCGCATTTATTGGTGAAGAAAAGTGAAAAAACTACATATTAGTTTGTATTTTATATAAAAACACTGTACGCTGTATCTTTTGTCGCCCCATATCCCCCCTCCTGACATATGTATACATAGCGAAAAACTAACAATATTTTGGATATTTTGGACATATCAGATATCTGAACCTTAGACATCTATTACATATTTATATATTGCAACTCCTTCGAGCCAGTTATGGAAACTATATCTTACATTATGAATTTGAGCATTGTGCATAAAAAATGCTTATTTTCAAGATTTACTTACTTACAATTGTTATGTTTTTTTACCTAAATAATAACAATGAAAATTTCTGTTAGAAATTTATGAACTCATCTCGTGTTTTTGAGTTTTTCTTAATGTAATAATAAAAATATATCTAGATTATAAAAATTGCAAAAATTGGGTGTCAAATGTCGACCATAGTTTTTTCTACACCATTAAAGTGAATGAGTACTTCGTTGTGACAATAATAGAAAAGGTCTCTATCGCAATTATTGCTACAACAAGAAAGTGTTTGGGACATATTCTTCTTTATTCATTTCATTTTATTCCTTCTTACCTCTTTTTCTGGGTAAGTACAAGTAAACGTGATTACGTTTACCACCATCTTTCACCTATATATATATATATATATATATATATATATATATATATATATATATATATATATATATATATATATATATATATATATATATATATATATATACACACACAAAGTTCTACAAAAACAGTTAGAACTGCCGATATAAATGGAATTGAGATTTTAGTTATGTTTATAAATAAATAATTAATCTATTTTTTTAATAAAAAACATTGTCTTTATAGTCAAACCATTTTTAATATTAAAAAAATAAATAAATAAATAAATAAATAAATAAATAAATAAACCAATCGTATCTCTTGTAAGTGACACAACTCTTCCATGATGTGTGCCCAACTATTGATCGGTCATCGAATCATAAGTAACTTTTCAAGGAGCAATCAAACACAAATTGCTTTTTATACAATTTTATTAATTTCATAAAATAAGCCAGTCAAATTTTCTAAAAACAAGGGATTCATTATCTTTGACCTTCAATACACTCATGTATGTGAGAGAGAGTTAAAATAATAACTCTTAACAAGTTAATTGTTCTGTTTTACAAATTCACTATTTTAAAAAAAATGTGGAGAAGAATATCTAGATATGGTGATTAGGGCTGTAAACGAACTAAACGTTCGGCGAACCGTTCGTGAACTGTTCGGCGAGAAGTTCGTTTATGTTTGTTTATTTAATAAATGAATGAACATGAACAAAAATTATCGTTCGTTTAGTTAAATGAATGAACATGAACAATGGTCTCCTTCGTTCATTTATGTTCGTGAACGTTAGTGTATGATGTTCGTTTACGTTCGTTTATATTCGTTCGTTTAAGTTTATTTATATTCATTTATATTCAATTATTTTTTATTATATTGCTATATTATATGTTCGTTTATGTTCGTTTAGCATGTTCACGAACATAAATGAACGAACATGAACTAAATAATTTGTTAAACGAACGAACATGAACAAGAAAATCTCGTTCGTGTTCGGTTAACTTAAACGAACGAACATGAACAATACCTTGTTTGTGTTCGTTTGGTTCGTTTACAGCCCTAATAGTGATCATCATTCTCACGACTAGTATGTATGTACATAATGAAAATTTGATAGTTTAAATAATTTAATTGATTAATTATATACATTCCCACCATTTTGTTGGGCAAGAAAGGTATAAAGAGTAAAGGGACACGGACACCCATCCTCCCACTACCATTCATTAGATTCTTTGTAGTCAATTGTTGATCCTCCATTTAAGGTGGAAAAGTCTTCCAAGCACCAAATATTATCTTTGTGAGGAGTATATTGTAAAACAACTATTGAAAAAACAATAAGAATCTTTATGCCTAAAAAATTGTTCTTTCTCAAAAGATCATATCATGGCCATAACAAATATGCGATGAAGATGACACCAATACAAGATTGGCAATGAATTCCATATTATATCCATATATCAATCATGATAAATAAAAAGATGCTCGACCTCTTGAAGTTTTTGCATAATACATCACAATTCTTTTGCTAAAATCTTCGTCTCCTTGCCTCCTAACCTATATAGCCCACAAAGAAAGACATTAAACAAAAAATGACAACTCATATACAAGTTTTCACACACACACACATATATATATATATATATATATATATATATATATATATATATATATATATATATATATATATATATATATATATATATATATATATATATATATATATATATATATATATATATAAAGTTAAGATCGGTTGAGAACTCATAATATCCTGAGAACCTAAGAACTAACGGTGGAGCGTTGGATCAAAATCAAATCATTAAGGGCATGATCGGCATCATACCAATCCCACTTAATTTTTTGTATTATTTAAAATATTAATAAAAAGCTCTCAATTTAACATTATAAAACAAAATTTTGGATTTTTTTATAAAAAAAAATAATAATTTTTTTTTTTTTTTTTTAAATTGCAGATTTTTTAAACTTTTTTGGAAAGCATGAATATTTAAAAATTTTGAATTTTTTTTAAAAACTGCAATTTTTTTGAAAAAAAAGTGTATTTAAAAAAACTGCAATTTCTTTATTAAAATAGTAATTTAAAAAAAAAATTCAAAAAACTGTATTTTTTTTCTAAATTACTGCATTTTTTTTTCAAAAAAGTGCAACTTTTTCAAAAAAAAAAAACACCAATTTTTTAAAAAAAGCTGCATTTTTTAAAAAATATAAGTTTTTAAAAATCAATAAATTTATATATAAAAAAGTAGAATATTTAAAAAAAAAAAAACTCTATTTTTTTAACAAAAAAATCAACATTTGAGGTGCATATATTCATATTCTTTTAAATGAATTCATGCATATTTCTTATACTATAATATTCGTAAGTAAATCATAAAAGTCTCATTTTTATTAATCAATCTATAAATATAATAGTACAAGTATTTTATTCGATACAAAATAAAATATATAAATTAAAAAAATGCTACGAAGATTCACTATGTTATCATTTCGTCATATCAAGATTTTCATATTTTCTTCAATTTATCACTTTTCACCTCTTCAATATTTTCCACAAATTCTTCAAAATCTATAAGAAAATTAAAATAATTTGATTAATACAAGAACATTCACAAAAATGCACATGTAATTTACATCTGAATTACTTGTGACTAATATGTGAATCACATATAATTAATATGTGATTTACTTGTAAATCACATGTAATTCATATCTGAGTCACTTGTGAATCACATGTAATTCATATACACAAGTAATTCTTATGTGATTCACTTGTGAATCATATGTAATTCATATGTGATTCACTTGTGATTTACATGTGCATTACATGTGATTAATATGTTAATTACATGTGAATCACATATAATTTATATGTGAATCACATGTTATTCACTTTTGAATCACATGTTATTCATATGTTATTTACATGTGATTTACATGTAATCCATATGTGAATAACATGTTATTTACATGTGAATAACATGTAATTCATATGTGATTTACATGTGAATCATATATAGTTGGTATGTGATTTACATGTGACTTACATGTAAATGGTATGATGGAATCATGTAATGGAATGGCATTACTTTATCAAGTCTTGATTATGATCAAATTCCATAGAGTTGAGGTGGTGTTGTGTTTACCTTGTACACGTATCAAGTCTTGATTCTTCAACATTTACATGTGAATCATATGTAATTCATATGTGAATCACATGTAATTCATATGTAATTTACATGTGAATCACATGTAGTTGGTATGTGATTTACATGTGACTTACATGTAAATGGTATGATGGAATCATGTAATGGAATGGAATTAGTTTATCAAGTCTTGATTATGATCAAATTCCATAGAGTTGAGGTGGTATTGTGTTTACCTTGTACACGTATCAAGTCTTGATTCTTCAACATTTAAATGGTATGATGGAATCATGTAATGGAATGGAATTACTTTATCAAGTCTTGATTATGATCAAATTCCATAGAGTTGAGGTGGTGTTGTGTTTACCTTGTACACGTATCAAGTCTTGATTCTTCAACATTTAGAT